AATAACCAGCCGGGAGAAAGCTCTCCAGGGCCCCTGCAGTGGGAAAGGCAGCCCCTCTGAACACCTTTTGTTCTGTATTCTTCCTGCCTCCACACGAGTTCGCTAGGCACCGTGAAGGACAATGCAGTTACCCGAGGTGGAGGACAGGGAGACCCCTGCTGTGTGGCGAGCCACAGGAGCCCACACTTGAAGGACAAAATGAAGAGTAGTGGGGCGGGCGTAGAAACAGAGGATGTTTGAGACCCAGAATGGTGTCCTGGAGTCCATCAGGAGAGGCTGGCGGGGCAGATGGGGCCCTGGGGCATGGGCAGTCCTTGGAGGATCTGAAGCAAATATAGGAACCAAGAGACTGGATTCGTGTGGGGGTACAGCGCCCCCTGGAGGCCGCGGGGCAGCGCAGCGAGCCCAGGAGGAGTGGGCACTTCCCCAAAGTTGGGTTGACAGGTCACAACCAACTCACTGGGGACCGAGAGGTACCGAGATATTGGTAACTTTTTGTTCCTCTTCCTGGAAAAGAAACTGCTTCCTGTTGAATAGCCTGTGTCGTTAGTGAGAATTAAAGACATGAAACAACATTTCCTCAAAAGTCATCCAGTGTGCAGTTGTTAATAAGGGTCAAATGCAAACTTGAATAGATTAAATCAAACATTCATCATCGGATTTTAAAATCCTTTAAAATAAAAATGCTTGTTGTCTTTGTTCTTCATTTCAAGGTTCACTTGGTGATAATAATAGTAACCAAAGCAACAGCAAACCCTTACAGAACTCTGTCCTGCTGTTCCAGGAACTCTGTGTTCACGACAGCCCAATGAGTTGGCACTTTACAGGAAGGACAGTCATTAATCACACAGCAAGTAAATGGCAGAGCTGGGACTTGAACCCAAGCTGTCTGGCCCCAGAGCTCCCTCTCAGCCCCTTCACTGCAGCTCATCATTTGGCATGCCCGACACAGGCCAGCATTTAAGAGCAACGTGATCTTGGCCAAGGCTGCTTCACCGCTTGTTCTCTGATTCCTCATCTGTAGAATGGGGGTGTGGGCAGTGAACTCTGTGAGCTTAGTGGTCACTTCCTCCAGCTCTGCTATTCTACTGCTTTGAGTTATTTTAATAAGTATCCAAGCCTCTGCATGGCACACCCATAGGCTGGCGCTTTGCTAGGCCCTGGGTTATGGAGAAAAGTAAGATCATCCTGCTTCTCCAAGGAGCCCGTGTCCCTCCACGGCAAACAGCTGTGAGGCCCAGGCTCCCTCACTGGCAGTCAAGTGCTGGGCAGGAAAGTCTGATAGATGATGGAGGCAGAGCCTCTCCGGGAACAGTGATGGCCACACAGCTCTCAGGAGCGGGAGAGTCTGTCCTGGCTGCTGAGAGGGGAATCCTCATGAGGCCAGTAGTCCCCCCAACCTAAGCCCTCAGGACAAAGATCCAGCCATCCCCGCAGTGTCACCGTAGAGCTAGTCCATCCTCATCACTGTGCCTCTGTACTCCTTTGTCCTGGGGCCTCTCTTCCCCCTACACCCAGAAGACTCTTTTCCCTCTCTTCTCTGAGTGTCCCCTCAATTCACCCGTGGTCCCTGCTTCCTGGGCAACCATCTCTGGAGTTGACACTTTGCCCCCTCACACCCCCCGTTGGATCTGGAGCCTGGGTTGGCCTCCTTGTGCTCACTTTCCCCCTTCAGATCATTGCTCCTCCTCTCTTGGGAGCACCTGGAAAACCCAGATCCATTCCTAGCAGTGCCTGCCACCCTGGCCTCCCTGCTCATCTGCCTCAGTCAGGAGCATCTGGACCACCAGCTCTGTATTGCCTCACCTCCTACCATCAAGACGTCAAAGTTCATTCTCCCTCCACCACCCAGTATGATCACTTTAGGGTCTTCTTCTCCGTCAGCCTGAGCCAGCCACCCCCCATTCACCCTACCCCCGGGCTCATACCCGGGCGTGTCCCCACCCCAGGTCCAGCCTCTCTCCTTTAAGTGCCCAACTCTAGCCGTCCAGCTGCTTCTCCACCAACCTCCCTGGACCTCCTTCACCCTCAATGGGGCATCAATCGCTGACTCCTCTGATTTCCTGCCTGTCCACGTTCCTCTTCCACTTCCCCACCTTCCAGCTCTGCATCCACAGTCAGCAATTTCTTTATGACAAACAAAACCCCCTTGACCCTTGATCTTTTCAGTTCCTCACCAGGACGACTTCCATCTCGGTTCACTCAGCTCTATTTGTCCTGAGCCTGTAGGCAGCAGGCTCTCCCAGCACAGGTATCTAAGACTACAAATCAATGCCCACCATGTTGCCACTGCCAGGC